CTCTAAACTCGTATCTAAATTCTTTTGATTTGTCTTTTAAAGAGTTTGAAAGTGCTTTTAAATTGTTAAAGTCAAATAAAGCAGTTGGTCCTGATGATGTCAACGGAAATATTATTATAAGCTGTTTTGACGTTTTAAAAGACATACTTTTCCAAATTTTTAAATGCTCTATTAATCAGGGAGTTTTTCCTGATGATTTAAAAATAGCAAAAATTATTCCTATATTTAAAGAAGGAGAAAAAACTAATGTAAAACACTATCGTCCAATTTCCATTCTCTCTGTTTTTTCTAAAATTTTAGAAAGAATCTTGTACAACAGAATATACAATCACCTTTTAACAAACAAATTATTATATAACATGCAATATGGGTTCAAAAAAAATAATTCAACAGAGCATGCAATTATTCAGCTTACAAGAAGTATATCAGACTCATTTAACAATTCTAAATTTACATTGGGAATATTTATTGATTTAGCGAAAGCGTTTGATACAATTGATCATCAAATTCTTATTAAAAAATTAGAATATTATGGTATAATAGGCAATGTTTTAAAATGGTTGAAAAGTTATTTAACTAATCGTAAACAATTTGTTTATGCTGATAAATCATTTTCATCAAGTTTGTTAAATATTACACGTGGAGTTCCTTAAGGATCCATATTAGGACCTCTTCTCTTCCTTATTTATATTAATGATCTATACAAAGCCTCGAATTTAAAACCAATTATGTTTGCTGATGACACTAATTTATTTATGTCTCACAAAAGCATTCCTACTTTATTTCATAACGTGAACATCGAGTTATTCAAAATATCTGACTGGTTTAAGACAAACAAACTATCCCTGAACATTGATAAAACTAAATGGATTCTTTTCCATCCTCTTACCAAAAAACATAAACTGCCAATTAACATGCCTCCACTTGTTATTGACAATATACAAATTAAAAAAGTAACTAATTTTCTAGGAGTTTGTTTAGATGAAAATCTTACATGGAAAAACCACATTAAAAACTTATCAAGTAAAATTTCAAAAAGTATAGGAATATTGTACAAAGCGAGAAATGTCTTAAATAAACAAACTTTAGTACAATTATATCACTCATTTATTCATTGCCACATAAACTATGCAAACATTGCTTGGGGTAGTGCAAATAAAAACAAACTTAAACCTCTTTATTGTCAGCAGAAGCATGTAGCACGTCTTATATATTTTAAAGACCGTTATACTCATGCCAAGCCTCTTTTATTTGAAATGAAAGTTTTTAATATATACGAGATTAATATTTTTAATATTCTTTGTTTTATGTTTAAATGTAAAACCAATTCATCCCCGATTTCTTTCCATAATTTGTATTCATCAAAAGATAAAAATAAATACATTTTACGCAATAATAATTTTATTAAGCAGCCCAATTTTCAAACAAATCTTTCTAAATTTTGTATTGATTATCGCGGACCATTCTTATGGAACAAAATAGTTTTAAAAAATTTTACTGAGAATTTTATTAATCAAAGTAACTACTTTTCTTTTAAACAAAAGCTTAAAGAACTCATTTTTGCAATCGATGATTTAACAATATACTTCTGATATTTTTTGTGATCTTTATTTTTACCATTTATTTAAACATGAACTTATAAAAAGTATATGTGTATCCTTAACAACTATAATTTACATATATAATAGATAAAACGCATCTTGTATTTATTATGGATTATTTTAAGTTTCTTACTTTTGTTAACTTATTTTTATTTTTTAACCTTGTAATTATCTTTTTAATTTTAACACGAACATTTCTTAGCGGTACTCGACGACAAGACCGTATGGTCTTCTACGAGTCCCCGCGTTCTTTTATTTTCTAACAACGACCATTATATTTATATATAAATTTATTATTATATATTTGTATTTGAAATATTGTAACGAAATGCTTATTTTACATGTAATAAAAAAAAAAAAAAAAAAAAAAAAAAAAAAAAAAAAAAAAAAAAATTTTGAGAAAATAAGTGGGACATGGTCCCTAGTGCCCCAGCCCCATGGACCTTCTGGTCGTCTGACCTGAACCAATTTTAATGCATGTTCATCAGGACTACACCAATGCTAAAAGTTTCCAAGCTCAAAATTCCAGTCAAAAAAGACACTACATAAATACCAAAGTTTTCATCGTTCCAGCTAGTCTGAAAGGTAATGAAAAATGTTTGGCAAGATTCCGCTACAAAATAGTGGGGTCTGTGCCCCGTTAACCATATATGGAAGTCCATATACTTGCAGATCAAAATTTTTATGTTTCTGAAAGATCATTAAAAATAGAATAATGTGTACTTTTTTTTTTTTTATATGTATTATCAAGGCCATGGCTTTCTTGAGCATCAAAGTCATGTATATAAAAAATTGCCTAAATTTATTTAAATTGATAATTACAAATACATTAAAATATTTTTTTATATTTCTGATTATTTCATTGGATTGTTTGACCCTGAAATTAGCCAGGTACAAATTTTTAAGTCAAAAGATCAAATATTTTTAAAGCTTAGTGACTTGGAATCTTTAAACAAAGGTCATACTTCTGAGGGGACAATAGGGGCCTAGCCAAGATCAGTTAAAAGTAAAATGATCATTCTTCATGATCCTCTTGGAGCTAGAAGCTAAAATCTTTAGGGATTTTTTGTTATACTAAATACTCTCAACTGTATAAAAATCAGCAAAATTTGAGATGTGGTGACATTTTTGAAATATTCTGGCTCAATTAACATGGAATTACTCCTTATTATAAAGTTTATTTTAAAAAAAGGCAATTTACTAATTGTTACTAAAGTATCAGTTTACCCATTACAATCATAGTATATCCAATGTAGTCACAGTCTATGTAGTCACAGTCAAAGTTAGCGTATCCACTATAATAATATTCAGTTTATCCACTACAGCCATAGTCAACATAGTCATAGTTAACACATGCATACACGTTCTTAAAATTTATTTTTTTAACCCACTCGAATGAATCAAATTAAATATAGTTTTAAAAAAGTGATGGCAATTTAAAAAGTAAACTTTTTAGCTATGTGGTAGCAAAGTTTATCTTTTGCACATACTAAATTTATAAACTAAATAATGGTATTTAATATTAGAAAAACAGTTACAATAATTAAAAAATTTATAGTGATTTTCTATAAGTTGTGTTAAAACTGGAAAAAAAGGTTATAAATAAATCTGCCTGTCGAAAGTCTGAATAAATTTTATAATAAATTGTTTTGTTATTAAAAACTAACTGAGATTAGCCCCGTAAAAATATGGGTTTTTGTATATCTGCTTTAAACCAAATTTTTCTTTACTTTTTCCTCATATATCCAAACTTTTCTGATTCTTAAAATACAGGTCTTTACCAATTTACATATCTATTTCTTGCTAAAAATTTATATATCTATTTCTTATTTACTATAATATTTTTAAGTAAAATAATTTATTCTGAAAAAAAAATTTAAGAGCAAAACACTTAACATGCGCACCTTTTACGCATACTTAGAGCTTATAAGATGCTTATAATTAGGTTCGTTTTTCTGCTAAATGCATTTAATTGATAGCGCAGTGGTTAAATGCGCTGTTATCAGTGTTGTTTTGGAGAGTTTAAACCCTCCTCTTATCGTAATAAATTTTCAAATTTTTTTAATCTTGCATATATATTCATAGCAAAACAATAAAATATAGAAAAAAAAGATTTCTGAAACTTCAAAAAAAAAATTTCAAGTTTTCTCATTTTATAGATATATAGATAAACGTGATTATTTTAAGAGCACTAAACCAAAGTCATAAAAAAATTAATTCTTATGATTGAAAGCCAAAAGATCAATATTAAACGCTTATCTAAAAAATTATATTAAAAGCTTATTTAAAAGCCAAAATGATTTTGGGCATTAACATCAGTTTGAGGAAAAGTAAATCTTTATGCGTCAAGTTTCCTTTTGCATTTATCTTACATTTTTTATTATGTTGAATACAAATGCACTAAAATATATAAAACAGTACAGATATATCAATTTCACCGATAAGAGATAAGAGACTTTATTATAATAGTAATAAATAAATAGTTTTAGGGCCATCCGTTAAGGACGTCATCATTTTTTAGCCAATTTTTGATCTCCTTTTTCCTAAACCCTCTTGAAAAAGACTTCATAAAATCTTTCTCCCCCTCTCCCCTCACCCTCTTTATTTAAATCCCCCAAAAAATCATTTGATCTCGCAATGATGTTTGAATCTGTTAATTCACCTTTAAAAAATTAAATTTAAAATATTCTCATACATTATCTTCTTAAAAACACATATTTACATAGTTTTTCATGTTAATTATACTAAAATAAAAAACTTATAAAGTGATGTCCTTTTTTGACAAAATCCCCTCCCCCCCCTAGTTCTTTTTTGTCCTTTTTGAAACATTTTATAAGTGGAATTTTTACATTTTATAAACAATATATATAAACAAATAGCAAATGTTTATATATACATTGTTTATATAGAGATGGTTAAACGCAACAAAATTAAAAAAAAATTAATTTTAATTGAATTTAAAAAATGATTTATATAGCGTTTTTTTGCAAAAACTAACGCACTATAATTTTTAAGTACAAAAATAAAATTTTGAACTACAATTACTATATTCCTTAAAATCAAAACTTTCACTATATTCGGTGTTCCGACCTGGCCTCACTAGCTTCAGCTAAAACTAAATTGTAAATAAGCCGCCATGATGGTTCACAAACAAACAACGAGTTACCGTATACTTATTGCGCTTTTGTATTGATATATTTGTTTATATAATTTTGAAAACATTTAAAACCATGGTTTTTTGTTGTGTGTTTAATTGCACTAATCGTTCTGAAAATTGTACAAAGTCATTTTTTCGCATTCCAACCATACTTTTACACCACGACGAAGAAACTAAGCAACTCTCAACAGAAAGGAAAAATAAATGGTTGAGTGCAATAAAACGTGAAGACATGAATTTCAATGCAACTCACTATAGAGTTTGTTCTGATCATTTCATTACAGGTTTTTTTTTAGTTATTTTCTTTTTTTTTTCTTTTTTTTCGAAAAATAACATTTTAAACTTTTCAGTTTTCTATAAAATACAGCTAAATTGAGGTTTCCAACAAATTTATTTAGTTGCATTAACAATTCAAATATGGTAAACTCAGTTCTTTTTAAGGAATACAATATTTTTTACTTCTTATAGTATATATGATTAGGCATATATTTGTGTTTTATATATTACAGGGAAACCTGCTAAATTATTCGAGAAATCTCACCCAGATTGGATACCGAATCAATCCATGGGTTATGAAAAAAAACTGACGGACATTTCCAGACACAAACGTGCTATTGACCGTCAACTTGTGAGAGGTGTTACAGATATCATTCAGAAAAAAGAAGAGTTACAAGTTGTTGCAGCACCATCTTCCGTCGATTTTAAAGATTCAATTTTACATTCCATAAATGTGATTCAAAATCAACATCATGCAATTTTGAATGATTCAAAATTACATGATATTGATTTTGAAGTGGTTGGTGATGTTCTTTTTAAAAATAATTTCAAAGATTCTTCATGTCAAACAAGCTTAACAAACAAACACATTATTTCCATGGATGAAGAATTATTTTCAAGTAAATCCAAAATTTGTAATTTGATGTCAGAGTTGTCTATTTTAAATGTTGGTACAATAGAATGGTTTGTATCAGACGAAAAAGTTCTTTTTTATACAGGTCTTCCAAACATGGATGTTTTTTTTACTCTTTTTAAATTTATAAGATCTTTCCTTCTGTGTAAAAGATCAAAACTTTCAGATTTTCAACATCTTTCACTGACTTTGATGCGTCTTCGGCTTAATTTAACATTAAATGATTTAGCTTATTGTTATAATGTCAGTAGCACATCAGCCTCTTCTGTGTTTCTTAAAACAATCGATGTTTTATATGTGAGACTTAAAGAACTTATAAAATGGCCTGATAGAGAGCAGTTATGTAAGACTACCCCAATGTGTTTCCGACAACATTTTGGAACAAGAGTGGGTGTTGTTATAGACTGCTTTGAGGTATTTATAGACAAACCGAAAAATACACTAGCACGTGCACAAACATTTTCTTCCTATAAACACCACAACACTGTCAAGTTTTTAATTGGTATTGCTCCTCAAGGTGTTGTAAGTTTTATTTCTAAATCATGGGGTGGTCGTGTTAGTGATATCTAACTGAAAAATGTGGTTTTTTATCAAAGTTGTTACCTGGTGATGTTGTTCTGGCTGATAGAGGATTCAGTATTGAAGGCAGCATTGCTTTATATTGTGCAGAGGTAAAATTACCATCATTTACCAAAGGAAAACGCCAACTCAGTTCTTGGGACGTTGAGCAGACTAGAAAAATAGCCTCAGTACGAGTTCATGTAAAGAGAGTTATAGGTAATATTCGAAATAAATATAAAATTTTACAAAGTACAATTCCTCTGGACTACTTGATAAAACAGAATAATGGCCTTACTACAATGGATAAAATTGTTACAATATCATGTTCATTAATAAATTTGAATGATTCTGTAATACCATTTGATTAACCATATGGTTAGATTAAGAAATGCAGCAAAACAAGAGTTTTTTTTTTTATGAGTAGAATATATATGGCTTTAAGTGTGTATATATATATAAATATATATATATATATATATATATATATATATATATATATATATATATATATATACATATATATATATATATATATATATATATATATATATATATATATATATATATATATATATATATATATGTATATATATATATATATATATATATATTTATATATATATATATAAAGTAGTAAAAACACATATCTAAGTTTCTCCTACAGTCTTCTTCGCCTTCAGCAGGTTCGTCAGGATACATCTTGATCAACCTGCTGATGGCAAAACCAACAGTAGAGGAAATTTAGATAAGTGTTTTTACTAATTTATTATTACTCGGTTCTTTAAGATTATTTAGCACTCTTTTTGCAGAATACACTAACATAACTCACTGTCACTTTCAGCTCCATCAGTAGGATCACCAGCAGAATTTTTTTTACTATTTTACTACTTTTTTCTTTAAAAAGATTGCGAATTCTTTTTGTTACATACAGTAACATACTGTTTTAAATTTGTTTACTCCTTTTTACTGTTTTGCTTATTGAGAAATTTAAGAACCTTGCAATTCGCGCAAAACCTTATTTCAGAAAACCTTCATACTTCGTTGGTGGTATCTAAGAAAATCTTCATACGCCTAAGGTTATACTTTAGAAAACCTTTATACGTCGAAGGTTGTACTTATGTATAAACCTTCAAATGTCGAAGATGGGACTTAAGTTTTAATAATTAAAGGTTTAATTAAGCACAACAAAATGCAAACTTTAGATATTAATTCGAAATGGAAGATATAATAAAGTATATAAAAGTAATTAAAGGTACATTTAAAAAATGGTTAGTTTGCACCAACAATTTTTTATACTAAACTTAATATAATTGGCAGCTTTTATATTCTATGGAATAATGTTTTAAAATTAAGCTGTTATAACCATTGTAATTTTACAACTCCTTCATTTTTGGGTTGGTAGAAACTTTACATGGTCATAACTTTCGAAATCTAAAAGATTATTAGATGAAATTTACTGTCTCGCTATCAACTTTTATTTAGTAAGAGATTTATTTTATAACTTAGTTCCCTCACATCTGCGGTAAGAGGTCAAGGTTTTGAAATATTTTTATTCCCAGACACTATTTACAGTAAGTTTTTTGTAAAACATTTGACAAAATTATTAACATACTTATGTTAGGATTTCGTGCGATGCTTGAAAGTGTGAAATCTACATCACCAAAAAATCCAAATTGGTATAAGCCGATATTGACAAATCATTACTTCGTTGTGATTCATTTAACATATTTATTATGCTATACTATGTGTGCGTGTGTGTGTATATATATATATATATATATATATATATATATATATATATATATATATATATATATATATATATATATATATATATATATATATATATATATATATATATATATATATGTATATATATATATATATATATATATATATATATATATATATATATATATATATATATATATATATATATATATATATATATATATATATATATGTATATATATATATATATATATATATATATATATATATATATATATATATATATATATATATATATATATATATATATATATATATATATATATATATATATATATATATATATATATATATATACGACTATCATAGTATTTACGGTATTTACACAGCATTGAGAATCATTTCTGAACACGGGATGAATAGAGTTAATCATACATTGGTCCACTGTGGTTAGACCTCGTTATATTTTCATAAATGTAAAAAACTTAGCAAAAAGTTAAAATAATGAATGAAAAAAAAAAATCATTGGTTAGCGCGTAATGATGCGAGACCAGAGCAGATTCTTTCAAAGAAGCTGTAGCGCAGTGGTTAGTGCGCTTGCCTAGGAAGCTAAAGATCTGTGGTTCAACTCTAGTTTTGTAACATCGCTTGAAAGGAGGCGTGAGCTTCCTTTCAATTGCTCTTCCGCGTGCTCTGTTATAAGACAGTACGGAATTCTTAGGGCATCTAAAATAAATAATGAAAAGACCACTTATTAATGCGGGGCCCGCTACTGCTATCCTAATTTTGAAGGCTAACGGTTTGAGTAGCCCTATTATATAAAAACATTTAACTGGTATTTATATATTTAGCAACGCAAGTCTATTTTTTATTTCAAGTTTATATAACACTTTCTCTAGCTAGGGTTCGTCAGATGTTAAATAGCAATGCCCCTTGAACCATCTCCATATTTCAAGCCCTGTTTTACGATAGTTTTTTTGTGCGTGGAAGTCAAATATCCATAGTTCCACAATTGTATGGGGGTAAAACGGTATTTTATAGTTTTTTTTTTTTAATAATTCAATATCAAAATACAATCTTTTATAAACAGAAGCGAATGAAAATACATGTTTTTTAAAAATAGTTACTTCTAAATCTCTAATAAGTAGTGAAGAGAGAGGGTAGGAGGAAAAAATACCCTGGGTAGAAAATGAAAAAAAAATTTTAATTAACGAGTAGGGTTGCTAATAAAGATCTAATTAAAAGTCGAGTGGCTGTCTCCTTGCTAAATAGATAACTTTTCCCACATATATATAGAGGTTTGAGTAATAAACAAGGCGAGACTGCATTGTGCTTAAATGGCATTGTTATTGAGTAAATGCTGTGTCAAAATGTTTATTTATAAAAACCACATTGCATAAAAAAACTTAAGAACGGATACGAAAAATAGTATTGGAACAGTTAACACAATAAAACCAGGAAGGGTGGGATTTATTGATATTTTAGATATAACACATAAGTTTTGCAAAAAATTGTAGGTGAGTCTAGGAACAAAAGTACCATAAAAGATATCCACTATCCTACCTTAATCATAAGAGAAATGAATTAAGATACTATTTTAATATACTATCTTACACTAAATTTGAATTCACACACAGTTTTTAATTTTCATTTATTAATCTTTTAGTGTTCTAAGGTTATGAACATGTAAAATTTACAACTCCCTCGATTTGGGGATGTTGGAAACCTTAAATAGTCAAAACCATTGAACACTAAAAAATTGTTTAGTTTAAATTGAACTTCATACTCTTTATAATATATAATAATATAAAACACAGCTAAGTACTAATTTTTAATTTATTCACGTAATATTTCAGACTAATTAGTTCATACCATCATCAGACATAAAATTAAAAAAATTATTTTTTTATTTATAAATTATTACGCTTGATGATCGTCTGAGTTAATCAGACTGAAACATCATATAAAAAAATTTTAAAATAAGTAAATAAAGTATTTTATTACAAGTATTTAAATCGATGCTCACATTTAGATACTAAATATTTTTTTTATGACAATCAGGACACAGCCAATTCTTTTTTGGTTTATTATTCAATTTTAGGCATACCAAGTGAAAAAGTTTAATTTTGCAACTCTTTCCTGCACAAGGAAATAACTCACCATTTTCATTGCCATTACAATAACAATATAAATTGTGATCATCAATAAAGTCAAAATCCATATTTTTGGTATCTCTTGTAAAAATTTATCAACTAATTCTGGCAAGATAGAACTGCTAAATACTTGCTGACACTTAGTAACGCAGGCTGTCCATAAAGAATTATCTGGATAAATTCTTTCTAAGTGATAATCTTTAGATGTATTTACAAAAAAATCTCAAAACTTTTTTTTACATGTATGCAACTGAGTTTGAATTTGAAATTAATATGGGTGTGTTTGTTTGAGCTTTTTTTCAGTGTTTATTATTTGTATACAAAATGTCTTATCTTTACCAATAGCTTCTAATATAAAATTGTCTTTATGGTTAGCAGGATTTTTAATTTCAACACATCCTTCACCACAGCATTCACAAGATATTAAAGCATCTGGAGAAGCACCTATGAAAGGATACTCTGTCGATATAAAAAAACCACACTTTATAATTTTGAAATTAACATGATGATGTTTTACAATATCAAAATATTTTGCTAAAGCAATCTTTTCATTGTCTATTCCCCATTTAGTTTGACATGAACTAACTTTGTAACTTTCAGGGTAACAAATTTTTTTAATTAATGATAAGGCAGGCAATGCTTCAAGCGTGTGTAATACACTATACATGTTTGATGCTGTAATTCTCCCTGCTCGAAAATAAAACCATTTTTTTGAAAAAACTTGCTCTCTTGTAGCTTTCTCAACATTAAACTGCTCAACCGCCGATACAGACAAACTTAAAGTTTCACATTGTTTACATAAATCTAGGTAACTAAGAGATAAAGCTGAAGAATCATAAAGTTCCCGCAACATTTTTGGAAATTGCAATTTTAACGATGAGGGTTGGTAATCTACACTGTAAGGGGACATAATCGACAAAATAGCTGGCTTTGACTTGCAGAGGCTCAGATCATTGAAAAATGCATCAAGTTCATTCTGAGTCGGAGGAGTGCAATTATAACTACTTGATAATGCATTGCTTTTTTTATCATTTAGAAATCCACTACAGGTAGATTCGTTCAATATTTCTTCATCAAATTTTCGTTTTAAAGTATTTGGGGAGGTAAAATCTATATCAATGCATTCTGCATATGGAATATCTTTGATTGAAGATGGAAGCATCCAATATGCTTTTTTTTCTGTAACTGTCTTAGAATCACGAATTTTGACAGCAGCATCAATATAAAATAAAACTGCTCCAATGTGAGAAACATGCCTCTCCGAGACCAGCCATGCAGTTACAATGAGCATATATTACTTTACCATCCATTTCAGAAATAATCCATGTTGAAGCTGCCGTTTCTTCATGCTTTTGAGAATGATAAACCTGCAATATGATAAAATAAAACTATGTTTAATTTAACGTTAAACTTTTTTTTAATAAAATACAAATATAAAAATTTGTTACCTTTCCAATAACCAAACATTTTTCATCAAATAACTTTAAACCAATTTCCTTGACCCAACCAGAGAGGAAAAAATTATATGACTCCAAACTTTTATAGCACTTTAGTTCATTAGCGGATATAGGAGATGGAGCAAACATTAAATAACTTACAAATCAGGGTAACCTATTTTAGGATAAAAATCTACTGAAAAAACCAAGTCAGATTGCACTAAACTGTAAGGATCTAAATTATTTATTTGAGAACTTTTATGAAGATATCTTTGCTTGCTTTCAACAGAAAGACAATTAAAATATTTGCTTTTGGCTAAAGACATGACTATGCTTTGTTTATTTGTTTGTGAACCAACATGACAGCCGTAAATAGTTTCGCATAATTATCATAAGTTAATGATGTAACTCGGAACACTGAATTAAACTTTTAAGCAATTATTTTTAATTTTTTTGGTTTAGTGGCTTTTGTTAAGAGCTTTGGAATTTTGCATCGAATTATCTCATTTTAACATATTCATTAGGTATATGATAAATTTTAAATCAATTACCCAGGGGTTCTAAATGATGAACTTTTGCCTATAAAATACAGAAATGACATTGATTTCACCATACCTTGAAAAAACTTCCCGCACACAAGACAGTTTCATATTTAACCATACAACACATAGCAGCCCAAAGGCTATTAATTATAGTATGTCAACTTTACATACAATGCACATGAGAAATACATGAGAATTATACTGTCCTACAGCATTTTTAGTGATGTTAATAATCCTTCAGATTTGTGTATTAGTATTAATAAATTTACAGTTAAGATATTTGCTTGTTCTGCAAGAAGAACGAATGTCCCCGATCAACTTTACACCTCTCTCGGCTACTACGTTGGTTCGAGACACATCAAGCACTGATGGTTCCTTCTTCCAGTGGGTAGAGAAGCATTTTACAGCTTTGGAATACTTAAGTTAGGATGTTGCTGACAGCAGGTCTTCATAAGCCGCCTTTGCATAGTGCTGGTTTGAAAACCAGGCCCGCGACCATGTAGTTGCAACGAAATCGCAAGTTATCTTCAGCTGTTTGCGCCAGTTTGGAAGAATGAAAAATGCAATAAGTGCAAAAATGCCTCTTGAGTTCCACCTGGCACTGTACAGTAATGGCAGCTTGTGTCGTTTGATACGAGGCCATTTTTCCTCATTTTTTCAAAACTTGTATGCTTTACAAAGCTGAGAAAGAAATTTAAAGTCATCTCTCCAGCCAAGATTCTCATACTCTGCTACCACTGCTGTACCGTTGTAGGCATTTTTTAAATCATCGTAATGCTTCATAATCCCATCAATAAATTTGTAGTTAATGTTAGGCGACTGTGACTTTATAGGAAAAAAGAAATCCAACACATGTCGTAGAACAAGATCATGAATGTGGTGTTGGCAGCCGATGTGTTGAGGTTCATCGAATCCCTTGTCTTGAAATGTTTTCTGAAGCTTGGCTACAACTCCATTCTTGCGACCAGTATTTACAGCTGTTGTGTCAAAGATGATCATCTAAATACTGTTCCATGCATTGTAATCATCAAGTAGGTCCTGTAATGGTTTATATATGCTTGCAGATGATCCACTGTTACAAACCAAAATGCCAAGTTGTAATGTTCTTTTGTCATTTTTCAAGCACACAACTTTGTACTCAGTCTTGTCAATTTTCTTACCATCAAAATGCAAAAAAACATTTTCTTCAGAGATCATTTCCATGAGGCGGTTCTTAACTTGTTCTGCATCTCTGATTGTTCAATGCCAGATTCCAGACTGTGATGGTGCTGGGACACAAACTCCATCCTCAGACAAACTTTGAAGCACCCGTGACGTTTTTCTGGTTAACAAAGATTGACTAGACACTAGTTTGGCAGCACACTTAGATGACTGGCTTGTTGCAAGCTTTCTGTAAGATTCTCCTAGAACTGCCTCCGAGTCACCACTGCAGCTTCCTTTCTCAGAATCCTCACTATCGCAGGAAAGTGGTACGCAGATTCTGATGTGTTTTTGGACCTTTTTGATGGATGGATTGTTGACGTAGGAGCCACTTTCATAGTTGTATGTCCCACCCTGACATCTGATTCAATTTGTACTTTGTACAGTTGTTTGTCCTCACTACAAAGCCAATTTCCATCTGGTTTTGTTAAATCGAACAGATGAGCAAGATTTTCTTCAAATACTGCATTTGGTCGCTTTCTGTGTTTCTCAAATGATGTAATAAGTTTGTAAACATTAGCAGACACTTGTTGTTTGGAAAGGTCAGGAAAATTAAACTTCTGCCAAAGATTCATCAATTTCTCTGATATTTTTGTTAGTCGATCATGTCGTCCTTTCAGTTCATTTAAAAGTCCCAAGAATCTTCCAACGATATCTCTGTTGGAAGGCATTTTACACAATTTGTCGTTCATATCCTGTTTTACCTGTGGTATATTAAGACAGCGCTTCGTGCTTGATTTCAAATTTTTCCATATTTCACCAGCTGCTTCCATTGCTGATTTGGACTTTTTTAAAGGACATTTTTTCAAAAAGAAGCAATAAACAGCAGATCTTGCATAATAATTCTGCAAATAATGAAAAAACTTACTAAATTCTTTTACTCAATATTTTAATCGCGCGAACATTAAAAAATACTCAACAACAAATTAACAACAAAACCGCGTTAATTTGAAAAACAGTCGTTAAAATTTGTTATTCAAAATTGAGTTACAAAACATAAAAATAATTTGAAACTATCGAACTTATTCATTGTATCTTAATTAACTTTTTAAACTGCTTGACACTCTCCAACTTGTAGTCAAGCATAGTCAAGCATAAGGAAGTAAGAACTGGGAACAAAATCAAGTAAAAAATCGAAAAAGTTAAAAAAGGTTAGGTGCTAGGTGCGGGAGGTTTTTTGTGTTCCAATGAAATAAACTTCAAAACAGTGATCTATTGGTAAAAGTTCATCAAATGCAACATCGGGAAAATTAAAATTTTGAGAAAAGTTTTTTTGTCATATACCTAATATTTATTGTATAATCCATACTGCAGCTGTTTTTCAAAACACCTTATGATTAAAAATATCATTTTCGATTTTTTTACAAAATATGCTAGTTAATGTCTACAAACGTTATTGAATAACTATATTCAAAGAGTTCTGAAAAGTTCATCAAATTTATACGTTTCAAAAAACGGTTTAACAAATAGTTAATTTTTAATCATTTTTTTAAATTATGTTTTTCTCGGAATATGTAGAAAGCATATTAAGATGTTTTAAAAAACAGCTGCAGCATATATTTTTTAGCAAAAAAAGCTTTTCACCGTCAAAAGAAAGTTTTAAATTTTTTTCTTGCTATGGGCTTTTTTTTTTTTTTAGCTTGAAAAGCAGCACCTTCTCGAGTAGCAGGACTTTTTTTATTTAATTATAATTATATTAATATTTATGATAAATTTTTTATTAATTTAATATAGTTTTTTCCTTATTAAGTTTTAGACAACTTTTTTTCAGACCATCTGCAGCATATTAGAACTAATTACCTGAGCACATTAATAACAAGCGTCTCCCCAATAAGAAAAATGACGTCGAAACAACGTTGTTCTAACGTCTTTCGTATCGTTGGAAAGACGTTGGCATGATGTCATAAATGAAACACCGAAAAAACGTCATTTTACTAACGTTATTACAACGATGTAAAATGACGTGGTGACAATGTTACATTTTAGCTAAATGACGTAGGAAAGACGTTAGAGCAACGTTAAGTTTGAAAAAAAAAGACGTTATAAAGACGTTAGGCTGACGTTATATTTTAGCTAAAATGACGTTGAGCCAGCGTCTTTTCTATCGTTTTTTACACGTTGGAATAATGGTATATATGAAACATAGGTCAACGTTATATTAACAATGTTAGAAAACGTTGTAAGAAAAACGCCCTCAAACGTTTTTCTATCATTTTTGATGTTATTTCTACACTGCAAAAAACAATAAAGGACAATTTTACACTGTTTCACTTTGCGCTGTCAAGCTATATTTCTTCTTATTTATTTAGGTCAAACACGATTTTTCTATTAGTCCGGGCAAATAATTGAATACGGAAATTAAAAGACTAAAAATAAATAAACATTCCATCATTTCTATTCCAAAATTTAAATTATATACAATAACTTAGAATGAAACTAGTTTGATTTTTACTTTCTTTGCAAATTTCAATCATATCTCAAATAATTCGCGTATTCTTTGTTTGACACTAAAAGACAAATATAAATGAAGAAACATAAAATTATATTCAAATTCAATTAAAAGCATTTTCAAGAACTAAATAAAAAACATTCGGAATAAACAAATAGAAATACCACTATCAGAAATTGCGCTAACTTTCAATTGATGCTAACCTGAGTTTTTCTGCTTTCGAATGATTATCGACTGTAAATCGTTTAGCAACATTATCTGAAATAGAATAAACAATACCTCAATAAAATGCAAAACTAATGAAATTGCCTCCAAAATAATTTTAATTGAATAAATAAACAAAATAAATTTAAAACACACAATCATGAAATAATGGAAAAAAAATATGTCTAGTTTTAACCTCAAAAGATATAAAATATCTTTGAGTTCAGATTTCTGGAAAGTTATTTTTTTACAAGTGTTATTTTGGCAATATATTTTTTTATAATATGAATTGCATGGTAAATAAACTGAAATGGTACATTTTCACTAAGCCAAGAATCAAAAATTGTTTTTATAAATAGCTCTCTTTAAGACTATGATTAGATATGATATGATATGATTAGATAAGATGAAATTATGATTAGATTAGATAAGATTAGATAAGATTAGATTATGATTAGATAAGACATGATAAGAAATGATTACTTTGTTAGGTGTTTTTCTTCCAATCCGAACTACTTATATTTCACTTAAACCCTTGACCATTTGAGCAAGTGGCATCTTCTTACCAAAAGCCAATAATTTTTTAAATAAAAAGGCAGACATATCAAGAAGCAATCATTCAGAAAACTTTAAAAAATGAATAATGTTATGTAAATTGTATGTTATGAATGTTGGACCATAATAATCCACAGCCTTAATAATCCAGTCCTCCAAACCAATTTAATAGCATCAATGCATAACCAACACATTGAAACTGCTAATTTAACTTGTATCTTCAGTGCATAGAGACCAGTATACAAAAGAAATTAAATGTATAGCCTTTTATTTTTTAAAACTCCGCCTGTGATCTAGACTTTCTGTTTTTAACAAAATCAGATGGTTTTTTACTATCTGATTTTGTTAAAAGTCATGAGACTTCTCAGAAATATGATTAATTTGAACATATGACAAATCACATACCTCTGGCTCCGATTTTTCAAAACATCAATAATTGACGGACAATCTCAAAACAAACTATATAATATAAACTAGATGATATATTATATAAACTAGATGTCAAACTTGCGGTCCTTTATTGAACAAAAAATGATGTTGCTTTTTTTGCTTAAAAATATATTTGCCATTTGTAAAAAGTGTTAAAGCTGAAGCAAATGTGTGGAATAAAAGTTCAAAATGCGAGTCAAAATTAACCAATAAATTAAAGATAATTCAAAAACATGTTATAATAAAAATAAAGTACTTATCAAGGTTTATTTAAGGTTTGTTTCTATTTTAAATTTTAATCCCTTTTTAATCGAAAATAAATTTAGAAATCATAAATTATTACTTTACAAGTACTCTAATTTCCTCTTAACACTTTTACATATATATATATATATATATATATATATATATATATATATATATATATATATATATATATATATATATATATATATATATATATATATATATATATATATATATATATATATATATATATATATATATATATATATATATATATATATATATATATATATATATATATATATATATATATATATATATATATATATAGCTACAGCTGTACTGAAAGTATCGAAAAAATTAGTAAAAACCATAACAAAAAAATGATTTTCCCAAAAAATGAAAAAAATGACAAAAAATGCAATTGTCGAAAGGAAGCAGAATGCCCCATGAATGGAAAGTGTAAATCCAAAAACGTTATATATAAATGTGTTATAGCAGCTAAAAATCAGCCCAACAAAGTGTATATTGGGTTAATGGAAGGCGAGTGGAAAAACAGATACAACAATCACAAATTATCATTCAATAATGTTAAATACAAAAAGTCCACCGCCTTATCAAACTACGTCTGGGATTTAAAAAACAATTTTAACGAAACCCCAATATTTACATGGTCTATTCTGAAATCTGTACCCCCCTACTCAAATATTTCCAAAAGGTGCCCACTATGTCTATACGAGAAATTCGCAATTATATCCTATCCTAAACCTGATGAACTCCTAAATAAACGAAACGAAATCATTTCAAAGTGCCGCCACGAAAACAAGTTTTTATTAAAAAACTACAAAGCTCGCTACAAACCTTACTAACCACTAACATTAACTATGCAACCCTATTTTGTACACCTCTAGGCTAACCAATAAGTTATTCACATACACAGCTTTTGTAATATATTTCGTAATATAGTTTATATTCTTATACCAACTTTTGAAACTTATTTTTATATTCATTTATTTTTAATACAATAATTTTTAAAAACAATTCACATTATTATTAAATCGTATTTTTATAACAGACATTAAAACAAACAACAACTTTACATATATTACCCAAAAACAAATTAATAATAACATTAACCTTAACTACTAAACAATTTCCATCCTATAACGATCTAAAATACCAATATAAACCGTAAACTTTTTCTAAACACATTGTAACAAAATTAACTTTTGACTACTTGCCTGATGATTGTGGTAACACATGAAACTTTAAGTCACAATATAATATTATAAACATTAGCATTTAGCTAATTCCTGATACTACAGGTAACAGTAATATATATATATATATACTATATAGCTCTAGTTTATCTATTGAGCACTCTTTAAAATATACATTATTATAAATGATAATATAAAGAAATCATCTTTAATATTTACATATATGCACCCACGCATATATATATATATATATATATATATATATATATATATATATATATATATATATATATATATATATATATATATATATATATATATATATATATATATATATATATATATATATATATATATATATATATATATATATATATATATATATATATATATATATATATATATATATATATATATATATATATATATATATATATATATATATATATATATAACAATTTATTCATATATTGTTAATAATACTTTTAATACTTTTGACTACTTTATAGTATTATAAAAACAGAAATTTTATAAAAATTTTGACAATTTTCATAATTCAAATTAGCATTTTTTAACTTTTAAGAAATGAACTTTTATAATAAAAATACTTTAAAATGTTCTACTGATATCATTTTTATAGCCATTTATATTAGTTTGCTAATGTGTTATATAAATATTCACATGCAATATGTTTACTCATTTAAAGTAATATTCAAATAATAATTAACAAAAACTTTGCATTTATTCATAATGCCTTCAATGTTCTGAATATACATAAAACAAAAAAATATAAATAAAGAAATACAAAAGTTACTTCTGAATTAAGTCCTTCACATATTTTGGTAACTTTCAGCCAACACGTAAGAGTTGGCTTAAAAAAGAAAAAAATATAAAAAAGGCACATTGAAGTGTTTTACACATAAGATCTTATTTAAATATTTTTTACTGCATTCACCAAGGTCAAGCCTTAAAGACCCAAGCTTATTTAATAAACAGCTAGAACTAAATAAGTAATTTGCCATGATTCAATCAAAGCAATCATGGCAAACTCATAAATATAAAACATTTTTATTCGCTAAATTTTGTAACGGAAATAAAATTTTAAAACATTAGAATTATTCAATATTGTTTTTTCACAATTTTGTTAGGCTGCAACCAATATAAAATGTTACAAATATTTATAGGCTGAATAAATAGGATGACATAATTTGTAACAGCAAATGATTTAGATTCATTTTAATAAAGTGATTGTAAATTTTTTGCTGTTTCAAAAGCTAGGCGTTAAAATATATTATCCAAATTTTGTTCTCTAAATCATGTTAAACATATTGAAATCAAACTCACAAACTGTTGAGCTAAATCTTTGTTACCAATTCTTAGTGTAAACTCGTTCAAATATTCTATTGTTACGGTTAAGTTTAAGATTAAATAATGTGATTATGTATATTTAAGTCGACTTGCTCTGATTTTAAACACCTTGATAACTTAGTACTTTAACTCTGCACAAAAAAATTGATGAAAAATAATAACATTCAAAAAATATATATTTTAACTTGGCATGAGTTTTATTAAAATATAAGATTAATTAGTTTTTCGGTTAGAAAGATAAGAGAATAAGTAAATGATAGTACTATAACGATATATATATATATATATATATATATATATATATATATATATATATATATATATATATATATATATATATATATATATATATATATATATATATATATATATATACATATATAAATATATATATATATATATATATATATATATATATAAATATATATATATATATATATATATATATTTATATATATATATATATATATATATATATATATATATATATATATATATATATATATGTATATATATATATATATATATATATATATATATATATATATATATATATATATATATACAAAAACTACACACAAATATATTTGACATATACTTTATTAAAATACTTCGGAGTTATTGAGTTGAGAGGGGGTTATAACCACAATTGAAATAAAAAAGGAGTCTCCTCAACTGCAGCACCCCCTTTATGGCCTTTATGGCCAAAATCAGCTCTTTCTTTCAACTCTGAAATTAGGGAAACATGAGCTTGTGATTCATTTTGAAATATAAATACTGACTGAATGTATCTCATCTAACAGTTTGTGTGTATTGATTTAAATAAATATTTTGTTTATTATGACTAAGATCTAGTGTAAAATTTAGATGTTCTGTTGCTGTTTCTGTAGGATATGTTTTTCGCTTGCTTCATAGTGAGGAGTTATGAGTTCTATCCTTACCATGTTCCTGGTAGTAACCCGGAGGTGAATAAGAATAAAAAAAAAATAAAAATAAAAATAACTTAATACAAATACATAAAAAATTGTTTACCCTTTTTCGTGACTTGAGACTCAAACTTATGAGAGTCAGTGTTAGTTATAATATTGTAGGAATAGCATGATATGATTATAACAATATACAAATTCGTAAAAGAAACACATTACACAAGTTATAAGAAGCTTATTAGGTAATTTCTAGTCTAGTTCCACAACAAACTAAAATACTTTCAATTCAAATGAATAAAATATATATTATGAATAAGACATTGTCTTAATATAACTTAATTGTCTTGAATTTATACTTAATATATTATGTATATTAAGTAAAAACCTTGTTTTAATACAACTTACAACTGTCTTAGACAACTGAGTTGAATGTCTTAAATAAAAAGGCTCTGTATTTTTATTGGCATTTAATTAAACTGCTAAATAGTTTAATAATGGGTATTTAAAAAACCTATCATTGCATTATCTATTTGTAAATAAAATATTATGTGCAAATATTATATATATTATATATAATCTTTTCACATAAATATACAAAGTATACAAAAACATAACAAAAATGTCAACAGTTTTTGAAAATCAAATAAAGTTTTAGTAATTTTTATTTATCATTAATATGATAAAAGTTTAATATCTAATTTGAATGTAGAATATAAAGAAATAATGTGTCAATTATTAGTATCACAGAATATAATGCCTAAAAACCATTAAATTAAAATTAGATTAAAAATAATATCTTTATCGATAACGATTTTTCAACCATTTTAAAAATGCGCAAGTTTGTAAAATCAAGTTGTGTTTACGTTAGAAAGCTGACGTTGCTTTGATGTCAAAAGTAAAAACGTAAAAAAAAGCAACGTTGTTCCAAATTCGCTCCAACGTTAATCAGACTAACGTTTGTTTTATGTTAAATAACCAACGTTGTTCCAACGTCGTTTTAATGTTAACATTCAAGACTTTAGATGATAACGTTTTTTCGACTTTATTCCAACGTTTGATAGCAAATGTTAGAACAACACCGTTATGCCGATGTTGGAACATCGTTGGAATTTAGTTAACTTGCGTCGCGACCAAAATACAACCAAATTACAACTACGGCTTGACGTCTTTTTTTTACTGGGTCTATCATCATACACAACAATTTTTTTCTCCGGGTGATGGTTTTTTTCGTTAATATTTTATGAAATTTTAGGTTACTTAAAATTTTTTCTACTGTGAAAGTGTTTAATATTGTATCGTTATGTTATATATTTTTATATTTAAACTTTTTAAAACATAAAAATTACTTTGTATTATAAAATAATCAAAAAAAATTAATATGTTCAGAGGCATGGCGCCTTATCGATTTGGCTACACTGGCACCTACTCAAGCGAAGATTTTTAAAACAATGTAATGATTTTTTAAAGGAAAAAATGTTAAAGATCAAAATTAAGGAGAGCTTGACGCAAAACAATTTTCAAATGAAAATCAAACTGTAAAACTTGATAAATGTTTCAGTATGTTTTAAAATATGTTTTAACATTACTTATTTCAAGGTTTACGTACGTTAAATATTTGGATCCGCGTTTGTTCATGCTTTCTTATGTTTTATTAAACAAAGTGCTGGAACTCTTTCTCATCGTTACTTTGCTTGCAATGGTTGCCAAAGGTACCGTGTCAAACAGGCTCGAAAGCACTTTACTACTATTAAGTTTGACAATAATATATAATAGATAGATAGATTTCCGAAATTGTATATGTTTTGTAATTATTTACATTATATATATTTGTTTATTAGCTGATTCAGTAGTTTTGAGTTTCCCGGATGTGCTGTTTACAAATGAAGGAGAAACATTTTTTGTAGAATTAATTGTATATGGTAAACCACAGCCTGCTAGCCATATATTGTTTCATGAAAATGTATTTAATGTTTTTAATTACACTGAGGTATTAGAAAATACTCACACATTTTTTGACAATATTTGTGTTTTAACTGCTAATAACTGTGGAAGTACCTTACAGCTAAATGTTTCCTAAAGTGAAAAAAGTGTCAACAAAAATACGACTGTTTATGTTCAATGTAAGTATTTACTATGATGATAATAATGATGATGATGATGATGATGATGATGATGACGATGATGATTATGGTGATAATGATGATGATGATGATGAGCAAAATTATTCAGGTTTTTCTGGTTGTTGCTTGGGATTTTACAAATACTTTTTTCATCATGTTTAAAGTTTTTTAATATTGGATTTATTTATAATTGTGTTCATTAGAGACAAATTTAATAAACTCAGTTTTTACATTAATTTTTTTTTTATATTCTGGATTAAAGACACCAAGTAAACAGAAAATATTAATAAGATTCTAATGAAGTAGTGCAAAAAATAAGTAAGATTCTGAAAGAAAAGTACATACTTCATAATCCAGAAACAATTTCTAAATTGTAACTTTTCTTGTTTGCTTCTTTGTACTAATGTCATTATTTCCAGTTGAAAGTTTCAAGTGAATGCATCATAATTGTCATTTTTAATAAATAATGCATTTTATTGAAAACAATAAAATTAAAGAAAAGGCAAACAAACTCATATTTAGGATATTATTTTTTGGATATTATTGGGTTAATATTCTTTTTAGCCAAAATTTTTTTGTAGTTAAACAAAAACTATATTTAATAATTGTTTTATCAATTTATTTACGTTCAAAGTTACTTTTTTGGTAAAGTAAGATATTTCTAATATATTGTGATCTATTATTTTCTCTTAGTTTAAAGAGTTTTTTTTTCAATAAAAATTTATCTATCTAAAGTTCAATTGAATCCTAATTTTAACAATCTTTATCTCACTTATCAATTAATTTTTACTTTTCTTTAATTTTGAAATGTTTAATTGTATTGTTTAATTATTTTCTTTGTTACACGACCATCAGTATCAATTTCAAATCCAGTAGAACAGTTAAAGAATTCAACAGTTATTTTAAATTGGAATTCAATTTATTTTAGACAATATCAGGTTACATATGTCATTAAAATTTTGAGTGGTGATAATACTGTTGAATATGAGTTTTTTGGGATAACTGAAACGCATTTTTCACTTGTATAATTTTTAATGATATAAGTATCATTATTATGATATAAACTATTTTTGTAACAAGATTTTATCACTAATAAAAAATACCAAAGCCTTCTGAAACCAACTCCAATTATAGGAGTTTCAAAACAAAGTATATTTGTTAAAAATTATTATCATAAATATCTGTTCTAGTCATTTTAGATAAACGCAAACTATAAACAAGATCTTTTCTATATGTAAAAAACCTCACTAGTGCTAGCAACAAAGTTTACCATCTGATGAGATCAGGGGTGTGGAGTCGTTAAAATAAATTAAAAACTCCAACTCAAGTTGTTGAAATTTTTTGAGTACAACTCTGACTCCGACTCCATTTGTTGAAATTTTTTGAGCACATCTTTAACTCTGACTTCGACTCCATTTCCGACTCCAACTCCAAAGAAAAATTTTTAAAAAACTCTTTAAATTCTTAAAAAAATTTATTTTTTGACAAATTTATGAAACGTTCTTTGAGGTTTAGTATGAACATAAGGTTAATTGAATGTTTTGTACATCCACGTGTAATACCGAGAAGATGTGACTCTGCAACTCCGACTCCACAGCCCTGGAAGAAATTATCCCTTGAATTTAACAGTTTTTCTTTTAGTTAACATTGAGGAATTTTTTGAATTTTAAAAATATTATTAAATATGAATTGTATTCATAGACTATTATCAAGAAATTGAATTTGGTGAAGCAAATTATAAAGGTGTATATAAATTTGAGACAACCTATGTCAACCAATATGTCTTTAAAAATTGTACTTATAATAAAAATGGAGTTGCTAAGAGAAGATTTATTGGAACATTGAACAATAAACCAACATGAAAAGACCTAGATTTATCTCATTGTGAACTAAAATATCTGGTAACAGAGGTTTTGGAATCTATTAGCAAGGTTTTTTATATCGTATAGTTTTTACAAACATATTTTTTATTTAATGAGTTTTCAGATATTATATATAAGTATATCTGGTTGTATACCAGAATAATATATGGGACCCTTAGACCCTTGATCTATATGCATCATTAACCTTAGAGTATTATCTTTATAATTTACTTGTTTTCATTAAACAATTAATTCATTTAAAAATAAGTTAAGAAAACAAAGAGATTGAAATAAAATGATTTAAATTATTTTTTACCTTGAGTATATGTTGAAAATACACTTGTGCACCTTTAATTCGATGTTTAAAGTTTGCATGCAATATACAGCTGATTATTGGTTCATATCCAATCATCATATATAATTCATCATAAATAATCACTATATTTAATTAAGCTGCAGTTACAAAAATAACTTATTTTAAAGTAAACTATAAAATACTTTTGCGGGATTTGATGTCGCTAAAATTTTATTTATGTGTTTTTTATTTAAATTTACCTTCCCAAAGTCATAAAGGCTAATTCATTTGAGGTGGTTTTTTGTGGTTACAACTCTCTTTCAACTCTATAACTTCGAAACACGATCCTTGACAAACAAGGCTGCTGCGCAAATGAAATTAAACCCTTTAATCCTAGAGTAGTCAGTGTTGGCTTTATTTGTAACAGATTGTTAAGTCAATGTTAATCTACTTTCAGGTGTTTTTTCAGTTTTATCCAGTTTCAGATATTATTCATATCCGAGTTTTTAATCATTTAATAACTTATAATATAACATAATTTATTGCCATTTTTGCCTTTAAAAATATCTAACCAAAATATAACCAAAACCAAGTCTGTTAATGCGCATAAAACTCACCATGAACGCATCCAAAAACTTAAATTTGTTGTAAAATCTTCTATTCGAAATAAACGAAGTTTGTTTTAAATATAAATAAAGTTAGTTTATTTCTATTAGAAAACTGTTTCTAGTGAAATGGCTCAGGAAAAAAAAAAGAAACACTATAAGAATCTATATAAGCTAAAAAAATCTGGCGAAAACCAATAAACCCCAAAATAACTAAAAATAATGAAGGAGTAGGTGTTTATAGAAACATCTGAATAAAAATAATTGTTTAGTCTATTTAAAATTAAAAAAAAAAACCTCTGCTTATATTAAGGACTGAAGTTCCCGAAAAACGGTTCTTTGGTTCTTCGGTTCTTCGGTATTTTTCGGGGAATCGAAAGGAATCGAAGGTTTCGGTTCCTTATCAGTATAGGAATCGAAAAGAGCCGAAGTTATCGGTTCCTTATAAAAAAGGAATCGAAAAGAACCGAAGTTATCGGTTCCTTATCAAAATATGAATCGAAAAGAATCTAAGTTATCGGTTCTTTATCAGAATAGGAATCGAAAAGAACCGTAAATTGATTACTAACCTTTTTTTTAATAATATACTTCCGTTATAATCAATATTTTCGATTTTTTTCAATATTTTCAATATTTTCGGTAATTTCGATTCTTTGTAATAAAAACGGTAAATTTCAATTATTAATTAAAATATCGTTTTTATTGTAAAGAATCGTTTTTATTACAAATACGTTTTAATAATGGCGTGCGAAATTAAATTCAAATTCTTTCAAATTTAATTTCCCTCCCCTAAGGGATTCCCCTTTACCAGTATAGATAGTGGGGTTTTGTGAAAATCTAATCAGTTACAATTTATTGTTTCACAAACAACTCTTTACAACAATTTACAATAATGTCTCAAGTTAATAATGCAATTTGGAATTACTTTACCAAACTACCAGAAGTGACAGTGAATTCTGACACCAAAAAGAAAACTTATAAATCAAGTTGTAATCAATGTCAAGCAGTGTTAACTTGCTGCCATGGAAGTACATCAGGAATGAGTAAACATTTAAAGTAAGTAATGTTTTTTCAATTTTTTCGGTAATTTCGATTCTTTTCAATATTTTCAGAATTTTTGCAACTTAAGTTAATATTAAGTAAAGATTTACTTTATAAAAAAATAAAAAAATAACAATAGTTCTGAATAATTAAATAAACATAAGCACTGATTATTATTTATTATACAGTAACAGCTAACAGTAATACTGTTTGTTACATTTAATTTAATATAGCGCCATCTATAGAAGTTATTTCAATTTTTTCGATTCTTTTCAATATTTTCAATTATTTTGGTAATTTCGATTCCTATCCCTATAATTATTTAATTTAAATCTTTTTTTATACAGATCTCAGCATCCCATTCAAGCCAAAGCTTATATTAAGGCAAAGAATGACAAGGTAGTGCAACTGGCTGCTGACAGGGAGGAAGTTGAAAAGGAGCTTGATAGATCTTCAAGTTTGAGAGGTTTCTTTCCAGCCACAACCACTAGTAAAAAAAGCTGGATAACCTTAGTAAAAAGTCTCCACCATCCAGTCAGCAAGGTGATCATGAAAAACTTCAAGTAACTCTGGATGAGTATGTTAAGGTGAGAAAAATATTGAAATTTTTTAGTAGCTTAAATAATCGTTTTTATAACATTTTACCGTTTTTATTTGTAAATATTCGAATCAAAATCAAGCCCAAATTGGTAAATTGAGAAAAAATATTTCTTCAAAAAAAACTCGGATCTTTTAGGCGCCGTTTGGGCCATGTAGAAAATGTTTTTTTTCTCAATTTACCAATTCGGGCTTGATTTTGGTGAAACTAATGTTAGAAATCTATTTTTATATTAAATTAGAAACTTTTGGGCCCTTTTCCAAATTTATAATATACTTTAAAGTTTAATAACTCTGTAAATTAATAAAAAGTTAAATTTCCACACTAGACAACAATTTAATGATTCCAAATTAATGTCCTTTTTGCTCTAAACTCAATATTAACAAAGTTATTGAGGTTTAAAGTTTTTGATTTGACCTGTCACCTAACACGTGCATGTAGATTTAGTAAACAGGTGTTTTTCAAACGTTTCAAATCTTTAAAGGCTTTTAACTTTAAACTTCTTTGTTTTAATAGATAGAGTGATTAGCACTGTCTCTAGAAACTGCAACAACTTACCCATATATATTAGATTGTCAGGTCTTGTTTAACGTAATTTCGATTCCTTGCGGTAATTTCGATAATTTCGATTCCTTTCAATTTTTAACATTTTTTTTATCATTTCAGATAACTAAATGGGATTCACAAAGCAGCTGTCAGCTTGATTTTGATACAGTTCTCACTCTGGCCTGCATCATGTCAAATCTTCCTTTCAATATTGTGGAAACTCCAGAAATGATGTTGCTCTTGAACTATTTGGCACCAAAAGCAATCATAAAAACACCAAAAACACTTGCTACAACAAAGCTTGACATGATTCATCGTAATGTTGAAAAGGCAATAACCAATCAACTTGAGGAAGAAGTACCAGAATGTGAAAGTGTAGCTTTTACATCAGATGGTTGGACTGCAAAAAATGGTGATCCTTTTGAATCTCTCACACTCCATTACATCAACAGTGGTTTTGAGTTGAAAAAGTACAGTTTGGACTGCCAGGCTCATTTAAATAGGAAAACAGGTCCTTTACTTGCCAAAGGATTAGACACTATGATTTCAAAATATGAAGTCTTGGCAAGGCCTGACCTAGAAAGAACATGTGTGACTGATGGTGCAGCTAACATGAAGGCAGCTGTCAGTTTAGCAACTTTGGACAAGCAATTGGTGTGTGTTGATCACATGTTGAACAATTGTTTGAAAGACACATTAGGAAATGGTGAGGTAAAGGTAATTGTTGATAAGTGCAATAGACTTGCTCAAAGGACACATCAAAGCACTAAGGATTGGTATGAAATCAAACAAGAATGTGAATCTCTAGGGTGTAATCCAATCAAGCTAATCCAACCAGTGCAAACAAGATGGAATTCAAATGCAATGCTGTTCAAGTCAGTGTTAAGAAATGAGCAAGGTTTGAAGTCTGTCAGAGATAACAGCCTGAATGCAAACTTGACAATACTTATACCAAGTGATGAAGATTTTCAAGTAATTGCAGAACTTCATCCTTTCTTGGCAAAATGTCAAGAATACTCAGAGATTTGGTCCTCAGATAAAACACCTACAGTTCACAAGATCCAGCAAAACCTCTTTTCATTGATTACTATGTGCCGTAGGACAGTTACACAAAATACTTCAGGTAAAAAATATTTTTTTGTGATTCTTTCGATTCTTACTAATAATTTTGATGATTATCAACAAATTATGCAATTTTGATTATTTATTCATTTTTCTCTTTTCCAGGTTCAAGAATTGCTAAAGATGCAATGACCAGGTTTATAGAATACTTGGAAACTAGGATTCCAGATAAAGGCACTGAAGTTAATGACTTTAATCTTGCAAGTGTGTTTGATCCATTTTATAGAGGTTATTCTATTACATTAATCAAGGGCAACAAAGATCATTTAGATGGAATAATAGACCAACTGGTAGATAATCATCCAACTACCAGAGAATACAATGAGGCTTATAAGGCTTCATTACCTTCTGCAATGCCAAACTTAGATGGAGATATGGATGATTTTGAGAGAATGGCCATGGAAAATGATGGAAATGATGCACCAACTTTGACAGGACCATCAGAGCCTCCTCTGAAGGTAGATATTCATTTTTATTAACAATAATTTCGATTCTTATAAATATTTTCGATACTTATAAATATTGATTCCTATACACATTTTCGATTCTTATACACATTTTAGATTCTTTGCGGTAAATTCAAATTCAAATTTTTTTTTTAGATGGAATTTAAGAGGTACTTGTCTATGCAAAAGCCAGCTAAGGATGTGAAGGTTTTAGAATGGTGGAAGGTCAATCAAAAGGAACTGCCATTACTAGCTGCTATGGCAAGGAAGTACTTGTGTCCACCAGTGACTTCATGCTCTTCAAAAAGGCTGTTTTCATTAGGAGGAAATATTATTAGTGATAAAAGACACAATATGAAGCCAGAGACCCTTCAAAAAATAATGTTCATAAAAGAAAACTTTCCACTAGTCAAATCAAAAATAAGGTCCTGGGACAAAAAATGCCCTGGTGAACCAGGCTATCAGTCTCAACCTCTACCATCCACCTCTCAAGATCAACCTCTATCATCAACTTCACAGACTCAAACTCTACCATCACCTTCTCAGACTCAACCTCAACCATCTCCATCTACACTAACCCAATCAACCAAACAGAAAAAAATGAAAAGTTTTTTGAAACCAAATGAATCACAGTCTCAAAGTTTACTACAAAGAGCTAAAAAAAGGAAACTTGTACTTGAATAACCAATGAAAAAATCACCAATGAAAAAAAACCCTATATATGATGCATCTAAAGATTTATTTAATACTAAAGCTAGTGATAGTTCTACTAGCGTAGCTTATAGCAGTGCTAGTAGTAGTCGCAATGGCAGCAAGGACAGTGTCACTGATCTCACTGATAGTGATTTAGAATAACTGTATTTTTTAACTGTATTTCAACTGTATTTTTGAAAATAAAAATTAAAAAAATTCAAGTTTTTCAATTCTTAGTAACAGTTTCGATTCTTTGCAGCATTTTCGATTTTTTGCGATATTTCCCGCTAAGAACCGAAATTGGAACCAAAATTTACGGTAATTTCGATTATTGCCTAAAATTAGGAATCGAAAAGAACCGAAGTTATCGGTTCTTATCAGAATCGGAATCGAAATTTACCGTAATAACGATTCTTTCTTAAAATAATGAATCGAAATTTACCGTAATAACGATTCTTGCCTCAAATAAGGAATCGAAAAGAACCGAAGTTATCAGTTTCTTTTCAAATTAGGAACCGAAATTTACCGAAGGAACCGTTTTTCGGGAACTTCAGTCTCTAGCTTATATTCGGAAACTTTAACTAAATTTTTGTAAATCTTAATGTCAAAATGTGTATGAGTAACATACATACAAAATTATGAAATAAACAAATTATTTGATTTACGTTTCAATGTGAAAATCAATTTTTAAAAATGGGGTCAGGACCTTGTCCCTTACAATATATTTATATTTTTTTACTTTATATAACAACATAAACAAGATCGAATTTTAATTAAAAATATTTTATCATTCAGAAGTTATAACCATTCAAACTAGAACTACCAAAAATTTAATTCACATTACATGATTTACACCTTACACTAAGATATAGTGCGCAATATAATATTATATTGTTATAATATAATACTATATGTAATAAATGACGGATCCAGAAACTTTTTTTGGGAGGGGTTGGGAAGGGTTTGTTAGAATATTTTGTATTTTGTACTATATTTGCGTCTCGAAAAAATAATAATAATGAAGATCTTAAATTTTTATGATATTTTAGGACTTTTAAATTCTAGTTGGGGGTGCATACCCCCATCACCCCTTTTCTCCCTGGATCCATCACTGTATGTAGTAAAGTAAAATACCATAGATATAAATCAGTGGATAAATAGATATCTGTATAATATAATATACTAGCTGAGATCGGACCCGTAAAATACCGGTCGTTACTGGAACTTCTATTTCTATACATACCTATTCCACACCTATTATTTCTATACCTATTCCTTATTTACTTCAATACTTTTAAGTAAAATAATTTTGTTCTGAAAAACAGCAAAAAAATAGATAGACTATAAAACGCTATGGTATCGCCCTCATATTATGCAACGCTAATTTTTAAAAAGTAGAAGATATCTTCAGTTCTTTAGGATGGCGATTTTCATTAAAATTAATGAGCTGCATAGATTTTTTATGTAACATATGGCTCTGCGAGGAAACATTTTGATCATATATGTTTCCTTTAATTGTGAAATTTAGCGTTGAGTAATTTATGGACGATGTTTTAAAGTTTAGATAAAGGATCAGACAAAAAGTATGTAAAGCTAAAAAAAATGAGAATTGTATGAAAATAAGTTTATAAAGCTAAAATAATATTCATAAATAAAAATATATAAAGCTAAAAAATTATAGAGTAAAATGCTATTTTAATGGTTATCTAAATTGTCGTTATTGCACACTCGGTTTTGAATGTTTAATGGGGGCGTGGATTAATAGATGTATAGCACTAAATTTCCTTATTGTATCATTATTAAATAACTTAAGCTTTTATTTATTTTTAAAAATAATTATATTAATAAAATGGTTTCATTTAAATGTGAAATTAAAATTTTTAATTATGTTTTAATTCAAAACATACTTTTTTAACCTTCGTACTATTTTGAAAAAGTTAAGCGGCAAATTCAAACCCTCAACTCGCTTTATTTTTAATTTCTGTTGCCATGTCCCGTAAAACATGGGTCTTGCTAATGTACTCCAAACCGACCTTTTCTAAACTAAATCCTTATTTCAATATATTTGAGTAAGAGTTAGGAAAATAACTATACAAAAAAAGAAAAACTTGTTATTTTCATTTTTAAGCTATAAAAAAAGTTCTATCGTAAATAATTTTAAAAAACATGAGATGATTTAAATATGTGGAAAGGACTTACCATGAGCCGTTTAAAACTGGTCATGGTAAATCTATTCCACACCGGCCGAATATCAATAATTTATAAAGAGATAAATATAAAAATCTTTGTTTTGACATAACCATGAATGTTAAAAACTTTATAATTTTAATAAATTTCTATTAAAAAAACAAAAACAAAAAAAAGTCAGCGGTTATTTTTTCTCTATAATAAGTTTCTAATTTTTTTTTCAAATTAGCAGCTTATTAGGACTCTTGCCCTATTAACTTTAAAGAAAAATCATTTTTTCTTTAAAATTAACAGGGCATGTAAAATATTTTCCAATAAGATATAAAGTTGTCCCTTTAATGCACAGACTTAACTGATTACTTAGTATATAAACAACTTAAGTATCATAATATATGCTCAACAAATTTTTAATGGCGTGATAACGTTTTTAGAAATTTTAAAAAGCTTTTTAAAAAACTTTTTCCCTTTTGCTTATTATAGTATATAATATATTGATATATTTTATGCATACAATATCTATATGCCTTAAAAAATATTTTTTATTTTGTATTTTAAAAAACTGGAAAAGATAAAAAAAAAAAAAAAAAAGTAAGTGTAAACAAAAGGATTTGAACGAACGCGAAGCACTTTAACCACTTAGGCATGTTTTAAAAGAATAAAAAATAATCTGTATTGTATTAATGTATTAACTGGAAATCAATTTATTTATACATAATAACTAAAACAAAGTATATAAAGAAAATTATGTTTACAAAAAAAAATTCAAATAAATTTGCAATATCAATAAAGTGAACTCATAATCATAATATTACGACCAAGTCTTTAAAGCCTATCTTTTTAATGAAATTATCTTAATCTTATGAAAATAAAAAATGAGTTTGTTTAAAAAGTTATTCTAATCAATAAAATAACTTCATAAGTGAAGTATGATTTGATCAATCTGTCAGGTATGATTGTTGTATTTGATAATATGATTATAGTTTATTATTAATTATAACAACTAAAAAATACAAAAAATATAAGGATATAGTATAACAATATTTTATTATTAATAATAATTACAAATCTCAATTCCGGAGGGCCATGCCTCTTAATATAAGATCTTAATTCTCATAAAATTTACTTGAATTTCAAAAATTTTTCTACAATATTACCTCCTAATTTTTCTTTATTATCTCCTAATTTTTTTGAACTTTAAGTTTCTTTTAAATATTCAACTATAACTTTCAAATGTTTTATTAAATTTTTGAATATTATTTAAATTTAGTTTTAAAAATTTTAAATCTTCCTAAATAATCCTAATTTATTTTCCCAAGTTATCCTGTAAAATCTCCTAAAAAGTTCTTTAAAATCTCCTTAATTCTTTTAATTTTTTAACTCAAAAAAAAGATAATAATAAATTTAAAATTATCACATTAGTAAAAAAATTAGTTCCTAATAAACAAATATTAATATCAAAACAACAGTTTTGATATTAATATTTGTTTCAACAGTTTTGGTATAAATATATATGGACTGACTGACTAGTTAAAGTTTTAATTACATATGATAATATGTAATTAAAACTTTGTAATTAAAATGTTATTAATAAAATTAATAAAATTAATAACAGTAATATTATATACATATAAAAACATATATATTTTGATTTTTATTTGAATTTTTTATCAAGGCTATCATTGACTAAGTTATATGATATCTGGGTCACAAATAATGCAAACAATTTTGGTAATAACTTAACTTATTAAAAATCTAGATTGCATTCAAAAAAATATGCAAAACACAAAACCGTTGTGTGCAATAATATGGTTCATCTTGATTTGCTCCAAACTAGAGTTTATATTAAGCCATAACAAATGTTAAGGGTCGTTGGTCTATACTTTGTTTATAAGTTGGCTCAACTTATAAACAAATTTTTTTTTTTTACTATTCAGCAGTTACATGCTTGGTCTGAAAAAATGATATCTGATTTAATAAAATAAGGATATAAACTACTTTTAAAAACCTTGATATTATTTTTCTCTTATTTGCTTTAAAGCTGATCTTTTTTTGTTTTTCTTCCACTAGACAGATGAATATAGTTTAGCAGATGTTGGTCAATTATGACCAACCTTTATACTGCATTCTGAGCATTTTAGTATCAATTTCAGTTATATAATTTCTTTTTGGGATTTAAGGAAGGTATTGGTAATAAAATTGTGATTATACTAGGGTAATTTCATATGAAATCATCCAAAAAAAAACCTTTTTGACACCCTTATGTCTCAGAATTTGTTCAATTTTACCTCACTTGCAGTGAGGTAAAAATGAAAGCAATTGAAATGTTTTTTAAAACATTCATTTGAATAAAACACTAAACAGTGATATTTATTGACTAGTGAAAGGACGTTTATAGTCAGAGGCCAAGGAAACTTCAGGGCGCCTCTGACTAATTCTGCACCCCTTCCCCCTCCTAATCTCCCTGAATTTTTTTTTTTTTTTTAATGCATTAAATGATATAATAATAGATATTAAAATTCAATTTTAAAACATAATTTTTTTTTAGTTTAAGTTTGAAAAAAAAACTTTTTTATTATCTCAATTCAATTGAGTGAATGCTTCTTATTATATCAAAATCTTATTATATCAAAAACAAGCAAATGTTTTGTTTTATTCTTTAAGGTTGTACATTACTTGTTTGTATTTTATTAAATCATAGTTGTGAATTTTATCATTTTTGTATTTATTGGTAAGTAATAATTTAAATAATAAACATGTTTAATATGGAGAAATGTGACATCAGAAAAATGTTGGAAATTATGCAGTAAATGTTATAAAAAAGGAGTAGAAACAGATGGAGATATATCAACATGAGGAATGGAAATCAAAAAGTGAGAAAAAAAATTAAGTTAGATACGACTATAGAATTGCTAGAATTTCACCAGTCAAACTAAAAAGTATTTTAAAACACAGCAAATTGCCTGCAGCAAAACAAAAGTTTGAGAACACTATTGATAGAGTTGCAAAAACTTTCTCATAAGCACATAACATTAAAAAACTTCTTTAACAACAGAAATAAAAACCCCCATTTCAAACAAAAATATTAACAATGACCGTGACCTAGACATTTTAATTTATGAAATAAAATAAAAAGAGACTGACATAAGGTGCCATAAGGTGCAAGTGTTAACACTAACACCAAAATCATGGATATGTATAAAGATATCAAGCTACTTTGAA